CCCAGCCAGACGCGGCATCTTTGCCCTCCCCGCCCCTCCCCCCCCACCCTGCGGCAAGCTTGCAGCTCTTGCCTATCCACCCAAACCCCCTGCACCAGTTGCTAGCCCACCCAAAAGGCCAGATGATGCGTACCAACTCACACAAACCGCGCAGCCACTCACACACACGCGCGGACATACAAACACACACACACACACACACACACACACACACATAGGCACGTGCACGCGCACCTGTTGAGCACCACGATCTCCGGCCCCAGCGTGTCCATCACGGTGGCGCACAGCTGGCGCGTGGCCTGCACCGCCTTGCGCACATTGTCGAGTCCGACCTGGTGCAGCGACTGCGGCGGCGGGGCGCAGCGGCGCGTGGCGGGGCGATCGCTTCATAGCTGATGAAGTGGTTGGTCGGTTCCAGACGTCGGTCGGTGCGGGCTGATATGTGAGGTTGGTTCATTGTTGACCGGTCAAAGTAGGGTTGTAGGGTGGCGGAAGCAAGGGGCTGGTAGAGTGCAGATGGTCAAGATGGGGCGATCCCAGGCACCAGCGGGTGCTGCCGCCCCGCTGGCCCTGCAGCCGCGCTTGTTTATGGACAACTCCGTGTCGCCCCACGGCAGCGGCGTCTCGCGCGCGGGTGGTGAGGGGGCGCGAGGCCGCGGCTGCCTGGCAGCTGCTGCTGCTGCTGCTGCGGTGCACGAATGCCCCGACACACAGCATTTCGCTGCGTGTGCAGGATACTTTGCTGTGCAGAGAACCAGCCGACATGGATGATGCGTGCCGTAAATTCAAAACTCAATGCATCACTCACCGGGTCTCCGTAAGAGAGGTCGAAGCGCGCCAGGCTCATCCCCGCCCCCAGCAGCGCGCACAGCGTGGCCACGTCGTTCGAGACGGGCCCGATGGTGCAGCAGAGCTTGGTGCTGGCGGGCGAGTCATCGGTGCTCTCCTGTTGGGGTGAGTGATGCGCGGATGCGGAAAAAAGGGGTGGGCCAGGGTTCTTGCTAGAGGGTCAACCAGGGCTGACTGCCCATTGCGTTGAGACAGGTGCACGCAGCACTCGCCCTCACTGACTGTGCCGCATCGCCGCCGTTGAGGCCAGGGGCTGGGTGTGAAGGGTTTCAGGTACATGCATGACGATGGTGCGCACGCCGACGTCACAATGGGATAGCCTACGACCGCGGCAAAACGCTCCAGGGCCGCGATGATCGCCCTTTTCCAGGGTGGACCCAGCCTTTGACGGCTCGCCTGCAGGATGGAGCTGATATTGTCATCCAAAGGACGGTAAAAGCTTTTGAGGGCAGCCATCTTGTTCCTCTCCGCGGCTCCTTCCAGGGATGCACTGGTGGGCCCGGAAGAGTCGCTGGCACGCTCTATGACTATTCTGAGCACCCGTGTGGTTTGTAGGGCGTCCGAGTCGAAGTGTATGACAGTGCCGCGTGGTTGCAGCTCAGATGCCGCACAAGCGTTATATCACTCTGAGTCACCCGCCTTCCCGCGTTTGATGCGGGTGGTGAAGCGCTGCATCAAGACTTGTGTGATTTAATTCATGTTGCTACTGCTTGCCCAATTGCACCGCGTGCGCCGTATTGTTGATCTCAAATGCGAATTTGAGCATTTGACTGTCGGCGACTCTGCGGCTCGTGACCAGAAGTCAGTACGGATAATGATTATCATTTTTAAACATATTAGTGATCCGGAGGGCCCACGTGCTCTGCAGCGGCAGAAGCACCGTTCGGCGAAGAACGCCAGCAGCGCGGAGCGCGCACTGTTGCGGCTGCTGCTGCTGCTGAGGGTCAACGCCGGAGGGCTTCTATAAGGTCCCAGACCGACCTAGATCAGCTATGGGATCGCTATGCAGCAAGCCCAGCGTCGCCGCGCGGGTCCACCCGCACCCGCCAGCCGGCGGCGCCGGCTCAAGCGGGGCCAGCGCCCGCGCTGCAGTGCCCGCCCCCGCTCGCGGCCGTGGCCTCGCGCCGGCCGCGTCAACCGGCGGCGGCGCCGCCGCTGCAGCAGCCTCCGACAAATGCATCCAGGTCGACGGCCGGGAGCTGGTCGGCTGCAGCCCCGGCGGCGGCCGCGCCGGCGGCGGGCGGCCGGCGCGGTGGCGCAAGGGGGACGCGATCGGGGCCGGGTCGTTTGGGGCGGTCTGCCTCGGGCTCAACACCGACACGGGTGCGACGCGGGCACGGGTGTAATTGCTCACACCATAATCCCCTGATATGACACTCCAGAGGGGGGCGGACGCGAGTAGCAGGCGCACCGCCGCGTCTCGGCAGCTTCGTGTCGCTGCGCACCCGCCGCTGCGTCAATCTGCGAGCCGAGCCTCAGGTCCGTCTCTCCAACAGCGTCGGCGAAGGAAGCTGCCACGCTTTCTGGCCTGACCCCATGTTTCGAATGCTGCTGGCGCCGTCGTCGACGGCGGCGCCAATCTTGTCCGCCGTCACGACTTGTACCAGGCGAGCTAATGGCGATCAAGGAGGTAACCCTGAGCGTGGAGGGGGCCCACATGAAGGAAGCTGTCGAGCAGCTGGAGCAGGAGGTGCGTGGGGTGGTGGGCTGGGGAGTTGGGGGAGGCTTGTGTGAAGAAGAGAGCGTGGGAGGGGGCTGTGACGCGACCAAGAGTGTTATGATGAGCGGCGGCAGCAGCAGCAGCAGCAGCAGCAGCAGCAGCAGCAGCAGCAGCAGCAGCAGCAGCAGCAGCAGCAGCAGCGAGGATCGATCTTGGCAGCTGTGCAGCAGCTGCGACCGAAGGTCATTGGGTTGGCAGACTTGGGTGCGGGGTGAGCAGGGGTGGTCCGCATGAACTTTGCAGGTATGTGCAGCCAGCTGGCGAGGGAATGTTGGTGCGGGCAGCTGTCGTCCCAGACGGGCACGCCTGCACATCAGCCGCGTGCTCTCGACGACAATTACCAATGTGACACACCCCAAACCGCCCCCTCCGCGCCCACGACGCCCACCATGCATGCATCGGGGCTCCATCATCCCCCAGCTGGTGCTGCTGGGGGGCCTCGACCACCCAAACATAGTGCGGTACCTCGGCACATCGCGGGACGAGAGCGGATTACTCATCTTCCTGGAGTACGTCCCGGTGAGTCCATCACTCGTGTGACGCCGTACGAGTCACCCGTCCCGGCACAGCATGCCAGCTGGGCCACAAGGCGGCCGTTCCGGATGAGGAGCCGCGGGTCAAGCAGGGAGGCTGCACAGCCCGGCGGCTGAGGAGAGGGGGCCGGGATGAGAAAGGGCCGGCAGCGGCGCCCTGAACGCAGCCGGCGTTGGGATGGGGGCCGTTTGCCGGCGCTCGCAAGCAGCAGAGGGTGCGAGCGAAACCGCGCAGATAGAACAGGCGCACTGGCGCCCATCGTCGCGCCCGTCCGACTCCTCGGTGTCCTGCTCTATCGCGCGACGACGCCATCAGGGCGGCAACATTGCATCGCTTGTGGCGCGGTTCGGGCCGCTGGGGGAGGCCGTCATCCGGATCTACACGCGGCAGCTGTTGGAAGGTGGGGCCGCCCCCCTCAACCTCTCAAATAGTAGTTTGATGGTGTTTCAGAAACAGAGTGTAGGAGCGCCTCACTTGACCAACGGCGTATGTTCACAAACATGAGCTCTGCACAGGCCATGGCTCCTTGCGCGCGTGCACATACACAAGCACGCATGCACGCACACGCGCGCACACACACACACACGCACACACACACACACACACACACACACACACACACACACACACTCATGCGCACGCACGCACGCACGCACGCACACACACACACACACACACATACACGCGCGCGCGCAGGCCTGGCGTACCTCCATGCGCAGCGCACAGTGCACCGGGACATCAAGGGCGCAAACCTGCTGCTGGAGAAAGATGGCCGCATCAAGCTGGCAGACTTTGGTGCGCAGCAGGTCTATGGAATTTTGTTCAACCGCACTCCAGTTTTCAACTCTGCCAGCCTATTCCGGAGGTTGTTAGGGTCCAGGGCTGTTTTTGATGCAGATGCCGCCAGGAAAGGGGCTAAGAGAGCAGCGTGTGGGGCTGCATTGAGCTGACAGGCTCTGGGGCACCCTTGGGCTTGGGGAGGTGGAGGAGCTGCATGTGCTTGCTGCCAGACAACATCGAGAGCTTGTTGGAAGGTGCTTTGAGGGAAGTCTGGCGCAATTTGTAACAGTGTGGGTGGGCAAGGGGCGGGAAGCCGCGTCGCACGCCCCCCGCCCGCGCCGCCTCCGCATGGAGCGCGAAGGCGCGGCGCTCGGGGCCAGGCGCTGCAGCGCTGCCACACAGCCGCCCTCCCCTCTGTTCAGCCCGCCCGCTCGCTCCTGCATGCACGCATCCAACGCTCTCCCCTTCTCCCTGTTGCCCGTCCCCTCACGTCTCAATCCCAGCTCCCCTGAGCCGCCGCCACCCACGCCCCCGCCCCATTCCTCCCCTCCCTTGTTTTTCCCCCAGGCATGGCCAAGCAGATGGTCGAGCAGGCGTCGTTCACCAAGTCTTTCAAGGGCAGCGCCTTTTGGATGGTGGGGCCCGGCCGCCTGGGGGCTCGCGGTCAAAGCGCGTGTCCCTGTTAGGCCTGCGGTTTGCTTTGGAAAGCCGTTTGGGGCTGGTTCGACCAGTCAGCCAGCGAGAGGGCGGTGGCTCTTACATCTGCTGCTCATCGGGCTGCCCTTGCATGGCGCGTCATTGTGACATGCGCAGCACGTGAGCGGCTGCATCCAACCTCATTTGACGCCCACATTCTCGTGTTGTCATCTGCAAGATGTCCTCATGCATGCCCGTCCCTGCCGTGACAAAAATCGTGGATGCAAACGTGTATGATGACGTCATCCCGCCAGGCCCCCGAGGTCATCCGGCAGCAGGGCCACGGTGTCGCGGCAGACATCTGGAGCGTCGGCTGCACGCTGCTGGAGATGGCAACGGGCAAGCCGCCCTGGAGCCAGTGCTCCTCGCAGGTGAGAGTGCGCCACGCACGGCGGCTGGGCCCCAGGGTCTTCGGTGGGGTGCGGCCTGGGGTTCTTTTGGGACGGGGGGCGTCGAGGGCTTCCAATTGTGTGTGGATTGGTGGGGTGATGGGGGAGGGTGTCGTCCAGGTTTCCCAGTGAGGACGGCCATTTGAATCTTTGGCTGCGAGGGAAGCTGCGCCCTGCCGTCTGTCAATGTTGATCCCCCGAACCATCCACAAGTGCACCCAAGCGGACCAGCACGCACACGCGTGCAAAGCTGCACGCATAACTCCCACGGATTCTTGGGGTCCCCACCTGCATCCATACCCTGAACCCCAGAGTGCGATCTGTGCCACTCACCCCCCTCTCCCTTGCCTCCACAACAGGTGCAGGCAATCTTCAAGATTGCGAGCAGCCAGGAGCTCCCCGCCCTCCCCGAGACCCTCTCCCCGGAGGCCTCAGAGTTCGTGCTGCTCTGCCTGCAGAGGGACCCGGGGGCGCGCCCCTCCGCAGAGGAGCTGCTCAGACACCCCTTCGTGGCGGCGCGGCCGGGCGGGTGCGCGGGGCGACGGCCCGTTCTTGGAACGTGCGCAGTGTGTGTTGGTTTGAGGGGGGGTTCTGGCCGTACGGGCACGTTGAGTGCGGGGATGAACGTGCAAGACCCCTAGGCTGCATGCCACGTGTGCGGGGCCGCGCGGCCGCTCTGGCTGCCGCGCGGCGGCCTGGCAGCCGGAGTGTGGTGAATCTCCAGCAGTGATGATTCGCCGTTTGTGCAGCGGAGTACTTCGAACGGGCGCCACGCATGACCCCTCAACCAAATTGACCATCAAAGTTGGATGATTCCTGCAGACCGCATGCATGCCTCGTTCCATTTTTGCCGTCGCCAGGTTCATCCCCGCGCTCCACGGCGCGACGGCGATGGAGGCTCTAGGCCCCGCCGCCACGCTGGACAGGGCGTCTGTGCGCGACGACGGCTTCCCCGGCGGCAGCGGCGGCAGCGGCGGCCTGAGCGGGACCGCGGGGCGGCGGCCGCGGCTGCTGTTCGGCGGCCGGGGGCCGGGCGGGGGCGGCGGCGCGAGGCAGCAGCAGCAGCAGCAGCAGCAGCGGCTGGGGCCAGACGTGCGAGCGCAGCCGCTGCTTGTGTCGACCGCGGGCAGCCACCGCAGGACGCATTCGGGCCTGCACCAGCAGCAGTATGAGGTGATGGCGGGTGGCGACGCGGCTGCTGGATTGGAACATCTATCTGCGGGCGCGCCGCGCCGCGGCTCGAGGGCGGATTCGCCGCACGGGCAGGCGGCTGGGGTGATGGCAGCAGCAGCCGGGGATGCTGGGTTGGACGACGAACAGTTGGCGGCGCTGGTGCTGGGCGGCAGCATAGCGGCGGCCGGCAGCGGCGACGGCGGCGGCGCGGGCGCGGGCGAGTGGAGGCCGGAGGGGGGCCCGGGCGGCGCGTGGCGCGGCGTGGGCGGCGGCGGCGGGGGTGGCGTGGGCGGCGGTGGTGCTGGGGCGAACGCACGGACGCAGCGGCTGCCGGGCGGGCGGGGAG